AAAAAAAAGCCTTCATCTAATAGGAATCATTCCTGTCATACAACCCAGGGAAGAGGTCTGAGAAAGTTCTCCACTTTCCCTCCATGACTTAGCTTCCCTGTGTTCATCCTCACTCATCATCAGTACCTGTCCTACCACCCACTGTAGGGGAACAGCTCTGCCATGGCTTCCTGGTGACCTTGCCACCCATGGCATCCTGCTCCCCAGGGAAAGACTGGAACCACAGCTAACCTGAGTCTTAAAAAAATGCCTTGTGAGCCTCCCAGAACACAAGAGGAGGGTGGCCTCTGAGATGTTACCTTGAAGCCATCTCTCACTGGCCTCCCACTGATCTCTCCTAGGGGGCTGGCATAAGGCAGCTTCTCATGAGGTGCAGGGCTTCCGGCTCCACCCCCGCAGAACAGGGCAGCAGACTATAAAACCTCTCCTCTGCAGTCGAGAATTGGTTCCTCAGCAACTCCCACTGCAGTCATCCAGCCTCTTTTATTTCAGTGTCATCCTTTCTGAGGTGTGGGACAAGGACCCAGGGACCTGGGACCATCGGTCACTCTCACTGTCAATATTAGTAATAAGCTGCCTGAGTCTAAAAGCGCCTGACCGTGTTTTCACTGGCCCAATCCGCTGGGCCCTGGCCTTTCTTACTGCTGCCACTTTTGCCTGGCACACCCTCCCCTTGCCTCCACTCACCCTCTTTCGTAGTTTCCCTGCTAAAACAATTGTTTAAATTTCGTTAAGGAGTATAATAATAGTGTTCTCGTACATCTGTACAGAGCTTTACGAGGCTCTTTCACATGAATGTCATTCTCACAGAAGGCAGCATTCCTACTTTAGCAAAGAGGAAGCTCAAGACTGCACAGGTAGGTTGTGGCAAAACCTGGTTCTCAGGACCTGAAATCCCATTCTCTGCCCTCTACAGACCCAGAGGTTCTGCTGCAAATGGTCTGGGGCACATCCTGGGCCCCAGTATTTTTCTGGATGTTCTCCCAGGCAAGTCTACTTTACATGTTTTTCTCAGTGAACACGTTAGCCTTGAAACTAGAAAGAAAATTATAAATGTTAGGGAAGGGAAGTGGGAAAGAGAAGTGGGAAAGGCTATAAAATGACTGAGACTGGCTCTGCCCACGCCTACCTGTCGCCATCCCCCGGACACTCACCGTAGATGCGCAGGCTGTACTCCCAGGTGTGGGTGATGCGGGAATTCCGCAGATTAACGTGGGCTCGGTAGGGCCCTGCGTCCTCCCAGGTCAGGCCGCTGATCTGCAGGGAGCGGCCTGGCCCCACCACACTCAAACGACCCCAGTATGGCGTTTCCGCTTGGTAAAAGGCATCTGGCCCTCCAGCTTCTACCAGGGTTATCGTGGCTATAGCCCTGGGGACCGAACGACACATCCAGAGGATACTCTCCACCTGCTGTTCATCCTGCAGCTGCAGGGGCAGAATGACAGACCCCCCTAGGGTCCCAGTTACCACCACGGGGGCTGAGTCCTCTCCGGAAGCCCCTGGTCCTGCAGACACAGAACAGAAGCTTCAGAAGCAGCTTATTACGTCGGAGGCTCACAGCAGGCCTGAGAGTCAGGGCAGTGATGATTATTCCTATTTTGCAGGGGAGAAAACAGAGACCCACGGAATTCAGTTGCCTTGCTCAAGACCACACAGTGAGTTCATGATAGACCTGAAACACAAGTCATGTTCCCCATTCCTCCATGCCAGAGCGGTCTTCTTCAGCCTTTACATTAATTAAATAACAAATAAGGAAATGATCGATGAAGGCTGTCCTAAGGGTTGCAGGTACGAAGTGACGTGGAGAGCAAAGAACATTCTTGGGAGGGTCCCAAAGGGATGAGCTCTACTTTTACTCTGTCTCTTTCTTGCCAGTTCAGGGAACAGGGCCCGAACTCAGTTCGTCCAGCCCCGCCCACAGCACAAACTGCCTTGCAGCACCCCCCATGATTGCTTGCTTGGCCACTTCTGAAACAGAAACCAGCTCCTCTGAGGCCCAGCCAGAAATCTGGGAATAGATCTTTCTAGAGCAGGGGGAGGGCTTGTGCTGTGCTGGCCAAGCCAGGTTAAGTGTGGTCAGTGGGACAGTCATTTGGATATCAGCCTGTAATGTACTTGAGAGAAGAGCGTAAGCACCAGGGCACTAGACAGACTGCCTGAGTTCAAGCCCTTGCAGGCATTAGCTGTGTGACCTTAGGCAGGTTGCTTAACCTCTCTGAGCCCTGGTTTTCTCACCTGGGATTTTGTGAGTGTTAAATGAGATAATGCAAGTAAAGGCCTCACTGTTGGCACTTGACGTCACTGGAATAAGTTGGTGACTTATTCCATCTCATCTGTATCCTCACCAAAACAAGTTAGTGCTCTCATAGAGAAAATGTTGGGGTGTGGGAGAAACACTCCTAAGTAGCATGACCCATTTCTGTTAGACAGTTTTTGTAACACTAACACACAGTCCCAGGAGGCAGAAAGTCTGAAACCAACTCAAGTATGCACAGCTGTTTAAAGAGAAAAGGCTGCCTGACCCGGATCCTGAATCAAACCGAAATCCAGAGCACTGGCTACGTTGCCGATTCCTAGGCCAGGTGGTGAGGTTCTCTGCCAAAAGTGGAACTGAGAAATCCTTTGACAGTAGCTATAGTGATGGGGCAGGGGAGTGGTGGCCGTCTTGTGGGAGTGGGCACCCCACACTGGGGGAGGTGCAGTGTCCTGTGTGCCCATCTCACAATCCACCGAATGCCCTGGTGCTCATTTCTGCCATGGGGCTATTCTGGCTCCACCTGGAGGATCATGCAAGCCGGCTGGAAGGGGGCAAGACAGAGGCTGCTAGCACCAGATGAACCTTCCACGTCCCAGGCTGGCCCAGGACCTGAAGTCTAGCCTGGAGGAATTCCACCTGGACTAAGCAGGTGTGCTCGCCCTTCACCCTGGAGCACAGTAACTTTCAAAGCCTAGTTCACGTGCTGCTGCCTGTCCGGAGCCTTAGCTGAGCTCCACACTTCCGGTCTGGCCACGCCTCCCTTTGGTTTCCTTCAGCCTGGGATTTGGTTGGCTTGTTTGGTTTTAGGCATTTACTTCATTCTGCCTCATACAAATGGCTGTGTTGTTGGTCTTTCCCAATAGTTCCTGAGCTCCCCCAGGAAAGGAGATGGTAGAAAGGGAATTAATATGTGAGCAATAAAGTAAAGTAAGGCTGATGGTTTAGCCGCATGGTTAGATGCAGTGGGGTGTGTGTAGAGCTTCTTTTTCTGAATCCTATTCCTGGATTCAACTGAGGAGAAAGAGACACAAAGAGATCAGATCAGGACATGACTCCCCAGTGCGAGACCCTGTGCCAAGTATGCTATTTTATTTAACCTTTCCTGTCGGAGAAGTAAGGTAGGGAAGGGAAGAACTAGCAGGGCAGATATTCTTATTCCCACTTCACAAATAAAGACCATGAGACTCAAAGAGCTTAGGAAACCTACTTGCCCAGAGTCACTACCGAGGAAGCAGCAGAATCCAGATGAACCCCAATTTCGCCTGACCCCAAAGCGGATTCTCTCATGACTGCCTTGTGCCACCAGCAGCAAGATTTCACCACACTTAATTCTTCTCTGTGCACCACCCACCCCTACCCCTACCACACACACTCCTTAGGCCCGGCACACAAGAGACCTCAATAGACATTTCTAGAATTGAACCTCAGGAATGTGAAGATTTTTAAGGCAAGACCTGTCTTATTCTTTTGCCATATGCCCAAGGGATGCCCTGGTGGCTAGTGAACTCCAAGGGCCTGAACTGGAAACCACGGAGGAAGGAAAGCTCACGGATGTGCTTGCTCTGTGGGGGGATAGGAAAGTGGGGGCGAGGGGAAATTTCCAAGAATCTAACCTCTGGGTTTCAATTCTCTGACTTTGGTTGGGGACAATGTGGTTCTTGAGTTTCCCTGTCACTGCTCAGTCCCACACCTGGGCTCCTCTGACTTCCATTTTCATAGATTACCAGCCATGTGTCAAAAGATGTCCCCTAATCTCTCTGAGCCTCAGTCCATCATCTGTAAAAGGGGCATAATACTATCTGCCTTATCTACATCACAAGATTGTTGTGGGGATCAGATTTGTTTTAATTCAAATAAAAGTTCTTTATAAATTGCCAAGTTTTAAACACATCTAAGGGATTTTATAGTGGGCTAGGAGACATCCCTAAGGCTGGGGTGGGAGCCACCCTGAAGACAGGTGACTCAGATAATCAGTTCTACCCAGTTTCCCCCTGAAGGAGAATGAAAGCCTGCAACTCTGGAGACCAAGAGCAGAACCTGGTTCGTCACCGTAGATTTCTCAAGAGCTCTATTCCCCAAGCCTATCCCCTGCCACCACTCAGGTCCCTGGGGGTGGGGTGAGCAGGAAAAACAAAGAGGGAGGGGAACAGCGGCAAGGTGCCAAGTTTGAGATCTCCTGCTGAAGTCATTTATGGGAAAGGAAAGTCAATTCACCATGAAAGTGACTGTCAGGGGCTGGCAGGAGAGGCAGGAAGGGGAAAGACATAAGGGGATTGAAATGACAAGAGGCAGGTCTTGGAACTGGCTGTGGAGGATCCTCTATCTCATGGGCCCACCATCAGTCTCTCTGGGGACGTCCAGGCTCCTCGTGGCTCATTAGCAGAAGAAATATGAGGGTGACAAGGACACAATCTGGGTTGTGTGGCCTGAGGTAACAGCACAAGCATCCTCCCACACACACACACACACACACACACACATACATAACCACTTACTTCTGGCTCTTAGGAAGGCAGCATTTTCAGTGAAAATTACCCATTGCTGGAGAAACCCAACATGTAGGCAGGTAGAGGTGCCTGGAAGATAGCAGCAAAGATAGACTTACCAGTGAGAAGACCAAGGAGGAGCAAGGACCATGGTAGAGAAAGGCCCATGATATTCACCAGCAGACTGGCCTGCCTGACAACAGCTGATGGACTGTGCAAATGCAGTGTCAGCCTTCAAGTGTTTCCTGTTTTTGGAGTTCACCTCTTTAATCACATGTAATTTTTGAGTCATAGCATATGAAAATAAGGGGATGTGAAAGAAAGATGTGTGAGAGGCACCAGAATGAGTTATTTAAAGCCAAGGCTGACAATGCTTTAAACCCTCCCAAGGCTCCCCACCCACTACAAGGTAAAGTCCAGGGTCACAGCCCTACTGGACAAAAACCTTCAGGATCTGCTGACCTCCTGCCAACCTCTTGGCCTCATGTTCTGTCACCAAGTCTCACATTCAGACTCCCCCACACACCTGATGATTTCTCACAGTTATAAATTGGCTCCTGCAGTTCAGCTCACTGGATTGCCAGATCCCTGCCACCTGCTTCACTTACCTCCCCCTAACATCCTCCTATCCCCCACCAAAGTCATCACCACCTTGGGAAAGTCTTCTCTGAAACCCCAGGCTAGAACAGTGCCCTCTTCTGGGCCTCTCAGTTTCCCCGTCCTCACTTCTATGGTAACACTTACCCTGCTGTTCCATAAATGTATGCTTATCTGCACACTCTTCCCAGTGACTTCCAGCCTCCCTTGAGGGCAGTCGTACCATTTTCATCTTTCAAGTCCCAGTGACCAGCTCAGTGTCAGCATACACTAAGGGCTTAGTTCCTACATGCTTGGTGAGCACATGGGCAGACACTGAGTCGGCAGGCAGAGAAGAGCAAGCCCAGAATGGCCCAAGGACAGAAATGAGGAAAGCGCAGGCTGCCTGGAGCTCCTTGAGCACAGGAACAAGGCTGGAAGAGTCCAGGGGACAAGACCTTGGGGACCACCTCAACATCCAACCATGCAGGACTGGGTCACGTATTATTTTGCTGTCTTGTCCTGTTGGTGGTACAGTTGAGGGAGTTGTATCAAGAGTCCTGATGGCTCTGCAGGGCTATGCAGACTCTGCTGGCATCTCCATAAGGATGTGACGGTGACTAGTGTCTTCTATCAGCCCCCTGACTTCTCAGACTTTGACAATTATATGGAGGCCAGTTGCCCCAACAAGACTTGAAGAGAATTCAGGTTGCTTCTAAGAAGGTCACCAACAACCTCCTATTGATCACATCCTTTGGACCTTGTCTTACATGACTGCTTGGTGGAATTTGACATTGGGGCCCTCCCTGCTTGAAATAGTCCCCTCTCTCGGACTCCAGGATGCTACTCTCACTAGGGTCTCCTTACTGATTTATTCAACACACATGTGAGCTCCTGCCGGGTGCCAAAAAGGCACTGTGTTGTGACTGGGGATTCAAGGAAGAAAGAAAGTCTCTGTAAGCCTGTGGCTCACAGGCAAATGGGAGAGAAAATCATGTCAATAGAAAAATAAGGTGACACAGATGGTTTAGTCTCAGGGTTGGTGCTTGGGGTGGAACCCTGCCTGTGCTGCTTGCTGGCCATGTGACCTTAGCAAACTTCTTTCCAGCCAGTAAGACTTCCTCATTATCATTTATTTCCTTGAGGGTGGTTTTTCTGAATAAAAAAAATTCATAGGCCATTTGCTTTTAAGAATTCATATTCAGGGAGAGGGTATATAGCTCAATGCATGCACAGGGTCCTGGGTTCAACCCCCAGTAGAGCCATTAATGAACAAGTAAACAAACAAAGAAACCTGATTACCTCCCTACCTCCACCAAAAAAAAAAAAAAAAGGAATTAATATTCAATTTACTAAAAAAAGCAAATTATAAAGCTGGGTCAGCCTCAATTCAGCTTACAAATCATATTATCAGGCAACTTTTAGCAACCCTTTTTAGGGGTTATTGATAACATTCGACTCATTTTATAAATTTATAAATTGGTTCCTTTAAGCACTTCAAACCTCACTATTAAGTGTAATACATTTAATTTCCTTTTAAAGTATTTTAATCAGCAAGTAAACTTTCCTAAATACTTAAAGAAGGCTTGTAAATCTAATACATTAAACTTGTAAGTATGGTTATTTTTAAGTTGTCTTAAAATATTCAATACTTCATATAAACTTAACAAGATTTCCAGTTAAAATCACAAATGTTAATCAATTACTTACTGACATAATTCAAATCAGAACCACAAAGTTAGCTATTCTTTTAATAACTTAAATTTCTCAAACAATATGTATACTTAAACAAAAACTATTAGTTGATTTCTTGAATGTGTCTATTCTGAATTCCTTATCTTTCCAGGACTGAAAGACTCATAACTACATATAAAACAATTATGTCATCTCAATCCCATCTCTTCCTTGGGGTACCTCCTCAACCAAGGAAGGTTGCCTAATGACCAGATATCACTGAGACATTAGCTGATGGGACCCACTGAGGTCTCTTTACTTGCTTTGTTCATGCCCTCTAAAAGGCGGAGCTCAAATCCTGTGCCCCCTAGATTCAACTTGCAACCTATGATATCACCAGATTCTTCCCTTTTCTGTAGCTACAGCACTTGATTTTCTGTTGCATCTCTTTTAGCTCTTAAGACATTTAACACTCTTTCCATTTAGGTGTAAAGAGCATTGACCATGTCAAAATTCTATACTCTTTTCATAGTCTTCCAATCTTTAGGAGAATATACGTATTAAAACCCTACATACTATTAAAAGTAAAGTCCAAGAAGTCCGGTTGTGCAGTTGTGTAAAATACAGGATCATCTTAACTGCAACATCAGTGAAGGGCTGGTTAGGGGCTCATGGTGAATCTATGCAACTGAATTTGGCACTGTGGCTGCGGAATGTAAATTGCAGCCCAGCCTGGGGTTTGACGCTACCTGGGTGCAATGCGTAGTAAACAGGTGCTTCTGGGGGCTGTGACTGGCTGAATTCCCAGGACAGTAGCGGGGATTCCAGACATTTTCTGGTCATTTGCACCCATTTGCTGGCCTGGTCCGAGGACACTGAACAACTAGAGATGTTGGGACCAACTTGCCTCCTCTCTGCTTCCCAACACTAGATACATTTGTATCCATCGCTCAATGAGAATATTAATCTTCCCTGTGTAAGGACAGGGGCTGGATGAGTTCAGGACCCCATGTGCCAACTGTAGTCTATGGAAATTCACATTATTTTAGATTTTTACTGTATTTGATTGCTGTACTTAAATGATACTTCATTTGAATTCCAAGTATCACAAGACTGTGTCTACCTATGTTCACAAATTCAAAGAAGGTCCTTCCAGTGACATTTCCCTTACGAAACCTCAGTTTCCTCATCTCTAAAATGGAAATAATAGGAGTATCAACCAAATAGGGTTGATTTGGGAATTAAAAGAGAAAACATATGTAAAGGTCCAAGCATAAAGCCTTACTCATTGTAATTATTCAACAAATGTTAATGATTATTTTTATTATTATCAATATTTTTGAACCCTTTCCTCCCACCCAGATTGTGCCTGCTCTCCTGCTCTTACCTGGGCTCCTTAATAGCCCATTACCTGTCTCCTCATCTCAGTTTCATTCCTTCCGTCTACCTTCCAATCTGCTGCTGGAGTAAGTTTTCTAGAGTTCTTGACTCATGCCCACTTTTGCTTTAAAACACCTGCCAAACTGTCATTGCCTTTAATCTGGTGTCTTAGTCCATTTGGACCACCATACCAAAAACACTATTGACTGGATGCCTTATAAATGACGTAAATTTACTTCTCACAGTTCTAGAGGCTGGGAAGTGAGGATCGAGGCACCAGCAGATTTGGTGCCTGGTGAGAGCCTGCTTTCTGATTCACGGACAGCCATCTTCTCACTGTGAACCTCACATGGTGGAAGGGGCAAGGGAGCTCTCTGGGGTCTCTTGTATAAGGACACTAATCCCCTTCATGTGGGCTGTACCCTCTTGACCTCATCATCTCCCAAAGGTTCCACCTCCTAATACCATTGCATTTGGGATTAGACTTCATCATGTGAATATTGGGACGATACAATCATTTAGTCCATACATAGCTCCTGGGTTATGAGGTGCTTTATCTGAGCTGTGGCAACCTTTCCTGGCCCCGTGTCCTGCAACTCCAGATAGCCATGTTCTAGCCACAGGGCCAGGACTAGAGTGAGGCAGGAGAGGCTCCTAGAGCACAAATTTTAGCAGGCCTTCAGTCTCAAGACTGCGCAACATCAGCTCATGACCAACTTCTGAAGAAGCTACAGTTTAACCAGCTATTGCACTATCAATTCTTTTTTAAAGAAATCAGTTTCCCAAGGCAAGATGAAGGGAATTATGCTATCCGCAACCTCACTTCTCAACTCAGCTAATTCTACAACTGTCACTTGCAACATCCATCCCCAGTGCTTTTTCCAGATTAGTTAAAGTCTTTCTCTTGCATTGGCAGGAAGGCAACGCAAAATGGCTTATGCAAAATAGGGAGTTTATTGAAGCATTGTATCCGTTACCCATTACTGTGTAACAAATTACAAAACTTAGCAGCTTAAAACAACAAGCACTGATTATCTCACAGTTTTTGTGGATCAGGAATCCAAGCACAGCGTAGCTGGGTGCCTCTGGCTCAGGGTCCCTCATTAAGCTACAGTCAAGATGTCACCCAGGACTGCAGTCATCTCAAGGCCCTCCGAGTGGAGGATCCACTCCCAGTTTCACTCCTGAGGCTCTTGGCAGACCTCAGGTTCTCATCGACTGTTGGCCAGAGACACCAGTTCTGTGCTGGGTGTTGACTGGAGGTTGGAGGCCTTCTTCATCTTGGGGATCTACTGCTCAAAACTTAATACCTGGCTCCTTGCATAAGCTCAGGGAGGGGTAGGGGTATGCAGGAAGGGTGGAGAGAGAGAGCCCAAGGTGGAAGACACAGGCTTTCTGTAACTTAATTTCAGATGTTACATCCCATTCCTTCTGCTGCATTCTACTCACTAGGAGCAAGTCAGTAAATCCAGCCCACATGCAAGAAGAGGTGATTGTACAAGGGCAGGAGATAGAGAGCTTTAAGGGGCATCTTTAGAGCCAAGTTTAGAACCCAAATCACCTGAGATTGAAGCAAGTGATGACTGACATCGGTTTGCAAATCCCGTGAAGGCT